ATGGGAGCGATAATGGATTGCCAGACTTAAGTTGACAGATTAACTGATGTTTTTCCATCCTTATGTTCATTTCCTTTTGTTTTAAAGATATCTGTTGTCCTTAGTACTTGTCACTGGAAATAAAAATATTACTACTCATAATTTGAATTATTGCTGTTTTCAAAATCGTGCATTTTGATTTGATTGTACTCCAGCGTTTATCTTTTTTTTTGATTGGTTTGCTATTTTAATTGCTATATTTATTTCTTTCGTGATATTCTATAATTATTTCACAATGGTAATTTTAAAAAATTTCTGTACAATGAAATTTTTAAAAATTACCATTGTGAAATAAATTTTTGCCGAATGTGTGGACAAATGTTTATTTTTTAGCCATATAAGAGTTCGACTGCCTTAATGAACAACTACTTACTTTACATACAAAATCATAGAAATGTTTTGGTTTGAAATTACTTTTTTGCAATATTAAGTTGTTCCTTATATACTTCAGAAGCACAGTTATTTCCTTATTAAAAATTTGTAATTGACACATCACCTCCTGGAGCTAATTCCCCTTAGAAGTACTACGAGATGTGTAACCCCTTGTTTTAATTCTGCTTCTTTTGTGTATAAATATGTTTTATTTTTTTTTAATTAATTTGTTTCTTTTTCTGTTATGTTGTAATGTACCAAGTTTTAATTGATCCGATAAGACTATGAAAACGTTTGGCTATTTTTTTCAAGTACAAATGAGTGCTCTGTGTAGTACACTGCACACACACACACAAAAAAAACAAACAAACAAACAAACAAAAAGGACAGTTCTATATCTCCTGTTCTACTGGGTCGATTGACGAAATTCAACTTGCATTTTTCATGTCTTAAAAGCGTGACTTAGGATATGTATCAGATTTATATACAACATTGTTCTGATATAGGTATTTTGACACAAAATCGGACTTTTTCTGAAATCACATGTCAATTTTATTCCATATTTCGATTTTACGACTGTGCACAACAATTAAGTTTTGTAAAAGTCGCAGGAGTATAAAAAATTAGCTCTCAAAATTTTAGCTCAGCAATGTTAATTGAATTTTATATATATTTATTAATATATCTTTTATTAAACTAACTTGATTCCAACTTCCAGTATTCGGAATTTAGCTTCATTCCAAATAAAATTCTCCAATTTCTTATGATTTATTTTTAAAATTTGTATTTTCAAATAATTTTATAAACTTTTCGAAAAACATTTTGAATATAACATATAAAAGTTTCGCCATCTTCTTAAAGTATATGTATTTCCAAGCATACCTGCAAAAAATTTAGAGCTTTTATTCAACATTTCCTAAGCTATACGTGAATTTACATTTTGGTGCGGTTTGAAATATGGCGTATTTATTATAAGCGATAATAACGAAAATCTGGTTTACGCACTTTGTTAAAATTATTTGAAATAATGAACGATGACTTTTTTCCCATTCGTTTACAGTAAAAAAAAGAAAAAATAGGTTGCTATAAATTAAAAATGTTCGTCAAGTGAATTATTCTTGGCGCAAAATGGAAAAAAAAAAAAAAAAAAAAAAACCTCACCAAGATAAATTTTTGAATTTCTCCGTAAATTTCGCTCCACATTTTACAGAATTTAATATTTAGGCATAATTTGAGTGATAAAATCGAAATGTGGAAAAAAATAGGCATGTCATTTCAGAAAAAGTCCGATTTTGTATCCAAATACATATATTAGAAAAATGTTATATATTATTCTAATATATATCCTAAGCCGCACTTTCGAGACATGAAAAGCGCAATTTAAATTTCGTGAATCGGCCCAGTAGAACGGAAGATATAGAACTGTCCCCCCCTTTTTTTTTTGGTCCAAAGGGGCTTTGTCTCTGAAGGACTACTGTATTCGTCTTGCGATTTTGCGTCGATTCACTACAAACGGCGAATCACTTTTCAAACTGTTGCCACAAAGTATTATCACCTTGTGTCATATTTAAAGAAATTAAATAATGAAAAATCTGCATAAATGTATGTATATTTCTCGCATTGTGATAAAACAATGGTACAGAGAACTATCGAATTTTGAATGACTTAATCCTCCTATGAATATGGGCATGTGAAGGACAAAATTTGAAATTTGGAATATGTTTTGTTATCGATTTCCTATTTTGTAAAACTTTAACGAATTTTTTATTAACAGACTCAAGGATTTCAAAGCGAGCAATGGCAACGTTGTACAGAAAAAAAAAAAAAAAAAAAAAAAAAAAAAACCCGCGAGTTTCTGTATCGGAAATTCTAAAGATATGCTCATTTTAAAACTACGTATTTTGTGATGTTGCTGTTGAACTGAATTTTATGGTTTAAGTGAGAAGAATGTGATATTTAATAAATAAATGTAACACACAAAATGTTAAAAAAAGTCCCTTTGGACGTAATTTAAAATCTGAATTTTTTTTTTTTTTTTTTTTTTTTTTTTTTTTTTTTTTTGCAGTGTACATTTGCATCCTTTTTATATGTATATAAAGTAAAACTAAACTCAGCGGCACAAACAGCACTTAGAGAATCATGGCCGTCAGTGCCCTGATATCTGCTTCTAGACCGTGGGCTCCAGGGTGCTTGAGTATCTTTGCTTGGACAAGTGGTCAGCCTATCTGTATATGTATATATATATATATATATATATATATATATAGAGAGAGAGAGAGAGAGAGATGTAGGTTAGAAAATAAACAATAGTTTAGAATTTAAAAATTAAGATTACAATTTAATGCAGTCACGCGGTGTGCTGCGAAATTAATTAAATTATCAGGATTCAATAATTAAATCAAAACCGATAATTAATAGCCGAACAGGAAGTATACATATAAAAATAGGAACAAAAAGAAAACAATATGTAAAATAATATAATGAAAATAATACAAAAAAATATATAATATAACAAATTTTTGAAAATTCTTTTTTAAAGGAGCAGCTGAAAGATTTTCAACAAAGCCGCGTTTCTGAATTTTATATATACTAGAAAGCCCGGCTGTCGTACGAAATGACCGCTGTTCTAGATATTATAAATTGTAATTAAAATGATTTGTGCAAAGGTGTCTGCTAATTTAAACTGAATTACCCAGGGCAGGCGGCGAGGACGCCCCTTTGCTTACTGCTCCACGGGGTTTTCCCCTTTCTACTTGCTTAATTGCTTAAAGTAGAGTGCAATGAAGGAAACCACTGGCGGTACATTTCTTAAGAGCCACCGCTATCTCAATAAATAAAGGTGATTTAAATAATGAAATGTTAATTCACATGTCAAAGATCTCTTTGTACACAACATTTCTTGTGTAGATCTTTCCATCATTTTTAAGCTCGCCTTGCAGAGGATCCAACCATTATTTTTAATTTTACGTCCGTTCTTTCACGAACTCTTGAACAGGCAACATAAATTTGACCGTGTCCAAATGCAGGCTCAGGTAAAAAAATGCCAACACGCTTAAGCGTTTTGCTCTGAGACTTATGGATAGTCATAGCAAAGCCAAGTTTTACAGGAACCTGTCTACGTCTCAATTGAAACGGCAACCCTGTGCCGTGGCAACTTCACCCCATTGGGTAGTACAGTTACGCAAGCAATCAATAAACTATCGGCGACAAACAGACACTTAAGCCGCATATATATATGGAGTGAAGTAATATCATCTCCTCTGAAACAGCTGGTTCTCGGGCTCAACGAATCACACCGTTGGATTCCGTAGGTCCGTGGCACGCCATTTTGACTATTCGCGTCTTCTTGAGACTTATTAGCCGGGATATTAATTAAAAACTAATTTTCCCTACATTTTCCCTACATTTTCCACTTTCTTTCTTGGGTTTTCCCTATTACAGGGATTTGGCTACGTGCCAAATTCTTTTTTCTGGAATATCTACGGAACGGCGCCGAGCTGAAATTTGAGACGCATATCCTCGGATTCCAAAAAATTCTCCGAATCCATCGATAGCGTTCTCATCTTCGTACGACTTTAATCGGCCGAGCTATTATTTAAAAACTGCAGAAACGTTAATTTCCGCGCTCATTTTTCCGAGTGGCAACAATAAACTATAGGCGACACACATTTTAGCCGCTTATATATACAAAGATGATTAAAAATTCATCAAATAATCAAAAGTGCCAAATAAAAAGCGAATTGAATGAATTACAGTAATATAAGGCCATTAAATCCTTTTTATAGTACAAATAAAGAATGCAATAAAGTAAAGCCTAAACAATTCATAAACAATTTTTGTAAGGAAAAAAAATTAAGTCTAACAAAATATACGGCATAAAATTTAAGAAGTGTAACACAAGAACTCTCGAAATTGGAAACTAGATATATAATTCGTCAAACGAAGCGATAAGTTAAATCAGTATTTTTCAAAATTGCCGAAAAGCTAGAATCAATCCAAATTTCTTTTTCTTCCAATTAAATCCAATAAGCTAAATTAATATTTTTCAAGTTATGTAGAAAATGGCGAAACTGCTAAAAATCAGCTACAACCCAAAAGCAATTAAATTTCTCAAAACGCAAGGAAACGAAACTAACTTATTTTTGTAAAGGCTAAAGTGGGAAATATTTCCAAAAAGGCCTGAAATTAAGAGAAAAGAATAAATTTAATAATGAAATGAATGGAGGAAAAAAAAAGGAATTAAAAATCTGTGATAAAGATGTTCCGCAATTTAACTATGCTTATTCCATGTGGTTAACTGAAGTTAGGGGTTGAACAGAGTTGCATAGTAGTTTTTGAGTAATAGGATGGTAGTTTGATAAAACGGAAAATAAAAATTTGAGATGCGTTAAAAGTTAAAAAAGTTGTTAAAAAAGTGCAATAATAAAAATTCTAAATAATTTTATTAATATTTAAAACTGTTAATTTGAGTACTTAAAAATATAGAGAAAACTTACTGAATATTAATATTGTTTTCGTGTTTACAAGCTTACTAAACCTTACTTAGTAGCAAATAACTTTTAATAAGTTGAATCTTTCTTTCCATCTAGGTTGGAACATTAAGAAGTCATGCCACTCGTTCATATGATACTGTTTAGTTTGATTTTCCACTGTTGTTCCCCGTACTACATACCACAAAGACCTGAACCTCCACCGCCACCGTATCAGCCCATACCTTTTAATACATTGCATGCTATGTATTTCGATGCTACTAGGCAAGCCTACATTCAACATGCATTTGCTGTAATGAAAGTGATGAGGGCCGAATGGATCAAAGCTCTGGAGAAAGTCATCACTTTACCTTTCGCAGCTTTCAAGCTTCTGTGACAAATGATGCCATTGCTTAGACATAATTGAGGACGAGAAAGACGCATCAATAATATTTCATTACATATCATGAACTCTGGACTAAACAGTATGAATTTCATCATGAAATATATCCTGAAATATGTTTGTAACTTAGTACCGATAATAATGTGCAGTATAAATGTGTATTATATGTATTTTGAAATCTTGTTTTACTCCATTACACTCTTCAGAAAAGAGGTTTTTATAAGATACTCATATCACATGCATGTTCATGATAATTGCATACACCATGACATTTACTTTAATAATGCAGCATAAATTTTAATCCCAAAACTTAGAATTTCATAAGGAATGTAGATAATCGACGTAATGCAATGAAGTTGTACACATTAGTATTTTGACAAAAATAAATGTTTTGAAAAATTATTTAATATATTTAATCCTTTCATTAAAAAAATAATTTTGAACATATTTGTTGCTACTTTTTTTTTCTTAAATCTAAGGTTTATGTGGTAGTGCTTCGTGATACCTAGTCAAAACTGCAATATCTTTATTTGACAAAAAAGATTTGACGCAAATTTAGTTTTCAGAAAAATCTCGTTATGATTCGTATATAATAGTCCTTATACGTGCATCTCATAGAATATAATATCTCTTTATTAGCAGAGAACTTTTTTGCAGACGCCAACCTCATATGAATTAAAAAAATTTTGCTTTGTTTAAAAAAAAATCTCTTTTTTGGCTCCCCCTCCCCAAATGGTCCAGTTTATGGTCGCCGGCACATTTAATCCACTTAAGTGCGAGATAATAGTTTTCTGATGAAAGATTGAATGTTTAACTGTTATGACGGTGTGATACGATTCTTTATGTATTTTTAGTTATGTATTTTTCGATTTTTATTATGAAGTAAAGTAGATGAGTGGCGGAGTAAATAGTTCCGATTTTTTCTCTGGGATCAGTTTGGACTTACAAAGCGAATAGGGTTTCTTCTGCTTGAGTACAAGTCAGTTGTGTGATATATGGACAATGTAAGTAAGTCAATCGGCTTGTAGAGACATTAGGATTTTTTGGAAGCAGACAAGATGAAAAATGAGCAATCGCCTTCGCCGGGAATCGAACCACGGACCTCTGGAATACCGGCCCAGTGTGCAGAACCACTACACCACGAAGGCACGCTAGGAAGGCGGGAGAAATACCTTATAGGCTGTTAAAATGTCATCTTAGGCTGTTACAATGTCGTATCTAGAGGCATCGATTGGTGGTCCTCTAATTACTATTTGACTGGACTTTTATGTTCATGTACAGTCATATAATTTTCGTTACTCGAAGATTGGAATACTTTTAAAAATTCAGAATGATCTTCATGTATTGACGTAAGTTGCGTAATTTTGTGGATTGTAAGTCAGTCAGCTGTTGCAATTTTATCTTCAGGGACACTGATTGGTAGTCCTCTAATTACTATTTTAATTGGACTTTTATGTTCCTGTGTAGTCACATAATGTTCGATGTGGAAAGAATGGAATATTTTTAAAAATTCAGAGTGGTCTTCATGTGTTGAGAGTAGAATATTTATATTTTCTCCGTTCATATGGGCAAAGAATGCAGCTTTAATATTTTGGGTGATTTTTTTGGAGAATTTCATGAATGATGCTTAGGCTTAGAAAAGCCGAGCTTAGGCTTGCCAGGAAGGTGGACCGCGCTATACCTACCTACCTGTGCTTCATGAGGGTACACAAAATACTGATGAACTGAAACCCCTCGAGTAATTTGGTGGAAGGTGAAGAAAGACTGAATACGCTCGGGCCATCCTCCAGGTGCTTGTACATCAAAATTAAGGAGGAATACTATATAGTGTTCTGGGACTATACCTGTACTACTAATGGCGAAATTCTGGAGTCTTGCTCACTTGTACCTGTATCTGACCAATACGTTTGCATAGTACTTTAAAAAATCTCCATAGGTATTCATTTAAAGTTGTTGAATTTTAGAGCACTGAGCAGTGGTTTTATATTTTTGTAATTTTCTTGGAGTAGTATAGATTGCCTGAATGATTCAACATCATAATTCTTCTCATTATGTTTGCATAATGAGAATGGTTTTAAGACGTCTTTCAAGGAATGATTAAAAATTCAGATATTAATAAATTCTCTTTTCGTATTAAAATAGTAATAAATATTTTACCTGTCGCTTGTATACTTAACTTTATTCATAAACTTTTTTTTTATAATTGAATTCAATAATGCGTTATAGTTGCAGTAGTTAAATACAAATACTCTTAACATATAATAAAAATTAAATTTATTAAAGCAAGATTATGCAATACGTAACTATTGTTGCTATTTTTGAATCACTGTACAAAATGACATTAGGCATACCTAAAAAGGCTTCAAAAACATTTACCCAAGCCTGTTTTATTATTAGTTCTAATTTCAAAAACGTATATCTGAAAAGGTTTAAAGATCGTGAAAGTTGGCAGTCTATCATTAAATAATGAAGAATCTCTTTTTTTCATGTTCACTGTGCTGAGGAAAAACGGCGGCACCTTGAGCTACCAAATTTTAAAGACACGCAATCCTCCATCCAATATACCCACCTCAATGTTTGAATTTCGAGTTTTTAAAATTTACTTCATATTGTTTTGCGAATTTAGTGAAATTTTGTTTAACAAACTCGGGGTTTAAGCAGTCTGGTAAACCGTAAACTATTAATGTTTTAAATGTAATAAGAAAACTCAGCGATTTAAAAGAAATGTGTTGCCACTACTCGAAATAAAATATTTTCATCTTCTACATGTTACTGTGTTGCCATTCACCAAAATATAAGTTTGTAGAGTCATTAGGTTTTCTGACGCTGGAGAGGTGAAAAATGTGCAATGCCCTTCCTGGGCCTCGAATCCTGGACCTCTCGAATACGAGCCGAATGTGCTACCGTTACACCACGAAGGCATGCAGAAAGGGAGGAGAAAATAACTTATAAGTTGATTTTCCTTTCAAATTTCATCTGTCCAAGTGATTTTCAGACAGTCAATCTGCATTATATGCCCTGAAGAACAGAAAAAATAAGAGCCAACTGGTTCAGGATATTCAACACACAATAAGTGCCCACCCAGAAATCCAGTTTTTCCTCAATTGGGTGAAAGCCCACAACGGAAACGACGGTAACGAGGCAGCTGACCTCCTTGCAAAGGATGCAACGACTAACATCAACAGTGAGGTAATTCATGTCCCGTGGCCCAAGCCCCATTTAAAATTTACACTGAATGCAATTGTCGACTCAAAGTGGCAAGAAGAGTGGGATTCTGCCTTGCAAGGCAGAAGATTCCACAATTTTTTCTCAAATACTGACAAAGAGGCACTACACTATTACCATGTTCTGAATCAGTATATCACAGGGCACGATCCTTTCCCCACCTACTTCCACGACAGAGGCATGCATCCACGGATCTCTGTATATGTGGCTAAAGGGGTGACCCTGATCATTACATTTTTGACTGTAATCTAACAGACGGCAAACATCTGATTAAGCCTAACAACAGTCTAATACCATTTAAGAAGTACGCAATAAAGAACAAACACCTTAGGGCAAAAATCAGAGACTTTCTTATACATATCCAAAGACTCGGACTGGATATTTGTCATATCTAATGCTTATTCATCTCCATATGTTACTAAAATATATTTGTCTATTTTTTATTTTAATGTTCTAACAATTTCATTTTTCTACGTAATGCTGATGGACAGGAGCTACAAAGACTTGCTTATTACACCATTCGCCTTAGAAAAGACATTTGTTCATGCATTTAGACTTTTGGAAGCATCAGTTATTGAACTTTTCAAGGACAGTCTTTTCTCAGTATGATTTGTGTACTCTATTAATACCAGAAGTCAGTTATCTCAGAAAGTCCTCTCAAGTGGTTAATGGTAAAAAAAGGAGGGGCGGAAAAAGGAGGGGAGAACCTTGAACCATCCCCCGGGTCGTTCTCCCTCAAAATTGGGGTGGAAAGTTTAACGGTTAGCTAGGTTCAGCAATACCTCAATTACCTGTGGTACTACGGAGGCTCTGGCCTAGCTTCTACCTGTACCTGTCTAAGCGATTTAAAAGCAATAAAAGCTGTTCTTCATCTCTTTTACTATTAATTAGCAACTGAGCCCATTAAATTATACTAGGCGGACTCATGAAAATCCTTATAAAGTTTTCCCTTTTTATAATAACTATTTCAGGCTGCTTGCCGAGCAAGTGACTAGGTATTAAATGTGTCAGATTTACAGAAAAAAATATGTTAGCTTGAAAAAAAAGAAGTTTGTTGTTAAAATGGCCAGCATTTTAATAACAAGCAAAATTATATCAGAACCTTCTGAGATCACAGTATTACTCTGAACGCTGTCTTAAGATTACTATTTATCCTAATTTCCATATAACAGCAATGAGAAAAGTTGAAACACTATAAGAATTAATCAGCCTGTGACACAAAAATGCAAAGCGAGCAGATGAATGCAGCAAAATGTTGGAAATCCGTTGATTTGATGCAAGATTGCCACAAACGTTCGATTTCTAAAAAAAGACAACATTTGCGAAAGACAGCAAAACGAGTTCTGGCTGCATAGCGGCAAAAGAAAAGTTAAGCAAATTTGTATGAATTTAGCAGTTTCAATTAATGCTCGATTCAAGTTCAAATAGAGCTCATAAAAACATTGCTTAGCTTCTCAATATCTTCTTCGATATGTCATCACCTAATTACAAGTTCTTGTTGGGAAGAACGATAATTACGAGACAATGGATAGATGTATGTCAACAGGGAGAAAAATTTTGACATCTGTTTCGCGACCTTGAATCGAACCACCTTCTGTTGTAAAGATTAATGAACTTCATTCTTCAATGATTGCTTTCAGCGCATTTGACCCACAAGCTGACGAGTTTACTGAGGTCAAAGAGGTGTAAAAGAATATTAAAATCGTGTCATAAAAGAATAGCTTGCATTAAAAAAAATGTTTCGGTCTGTCTTTGAATCAGTTGTTGGGTGAGATTTGTTGATTTTAGGCAACATTACAGTCATGATCTCGTGGCTTGATTCCATATTTATGCAAACATTTGTGAAATCTATCTATTATAAGTTTTAATTTTTCTAAGTTACAGAAAGAAACACTTAGCAGATTGACATCTAATAATAAATATATTTATTTTTGACATATAATAA